GTTTATCTTCCACAGAACGAGGCTGCACGCCCACATTTTCACAACAAAATAGAACAGGCTGCAGTGAGAGTCTCTCTCCATGGGATATTTAAAAATAGCAGCTTTGTGCATTTAGTCCTTCTCAGGCAAGCTCAGGGGTTTAGTGTTGCTGTAGCCCACAGGAAGTGAGGATTAGAATATATGACCTTCACATAATCCGCTCCAAATTAATCTATATTTTTAAAGTCATTACTAAAAGTGTGTGTCATATAAAAACTAAAGTGATGGTCAAAGTTGTCACAGTGAAATTTAAGGTGTGCTGATGGATTCATGTCATCAACTCATGCATTGAGTAACATTACAAGTTAACGTTCCACCTTAAAAGTTGCCGGCAGTCGGCCCAGTGAATGAAGTTATTTTTTCTCAGACTCCAGCTGCTGTGAGAGGCAGCAAAACATCCTTTCATTTTATAGTTACAGTTTACTAATAAAACTCTCCACAGTATGAACAGTGGTTACATGAGCCTCAAAACCAGACTCAACTCAGCCCTGAGCAGAGTGACCGTCCTCTACTGACCAATCAGACTGCAGTGTTCACAGCTCCACCTTTTAGTACCATATCTGTGTGCTAGGTACCCCAACAGAGGGGGGACCAAACATGGGGACGCTAAGGAACGCTTGTGTTGGGACCATCCACAACTTTTCACAAAAAAAAAAGTTCGTTCACCATTTTCCCAAGTTTGGTGGTCCCTCCTGTTTCTATACATCGCCAAGATGGCAACCATTGAGTGTGAAAAGTGTCCAGTATTTCACACTCAACTTTTTGACACATGGCACATGTTATCCTGCCATACGTGTCACTGTGACTGCAGTGTAAGCACAGAGGAGTGTGAGAGGAGACACAGCACAAGTCTGAATTACAAAAAATCCCCTAGAAGGTGATGATCAGTGAACATGTCTTCACTTCTTCTAAAATGTCCCAGACACACACACACACACACACACACACACACACACACACACACACACAGTTCACCCATGTTATTGCCATCTCTGTTTCCAGTCCATCCTCCTATTGAACGTATAGCCGACAGGTCTGCAGAAGGCAAACTGTGATTTAGTAGCAGTGTAAACCAGAAGCCGAGGCCCGCAGCTCTGCTTTATCAGCGGTGCTCCATCTTGCTGTGGGGGACACGAGAACTCATTTAGGGTGTTGCCAGAGATGGTCTTGCACCAGCTGATAGCTCTGTTGAATTACGATTGCACCGCTACTCTTTTATTTCTCTGTGTTAGTCTGCCTGTGCGTATGTGTCTGTGCCTGAAGGTGCGGCAGCAGGTGGAGACGAACGCTGTGAGCGACTGCCATTTTGAAGGCTCCCTGACTGCGGTGGCACTTGCAAACACACGCACGTGCGCATTATCATAAAACACACACACAGAGAGGCAGAGCTGGTAATGAGAAACATAAGCTGGAGTCTGTCCCCGAGAGTTTTTGGAAGTTTAACACAAGAAATGATAATTACCAGGAAATCCAATTTTGACACAATGAGATTATTGTTGGTGTTTGTGTGTGCAAGTGTTTCAGCGTGTGTGTGTGTGTGTGTGTGTGTGTGTGTGTGATGCCTCATATTGTGCTGCAGATGGCTCTGGGGTCACCATGGAGACTGGTGACATATAATCAGGATGTGGTGGGTGTTTTTGGCGTCCTGGGGTTATGAGGGAGGTGGAGGATGAGTGTGGAGGAGTCTGTTGGTGTTTCAGGTCTGAAATTACAGATCGATTCTTTACTCACTTCACAAACCACACAGTGATGTAATGTAATATTCTGAAGCCTCTGATGGAAGGCCGTTGGTTCGATCCCCTGTAGTCTACATGTCGAAGTGTCCTTGGGCGGGATACTGAACCCTAAATTGCTCCTGATGGCGGTGCCATCTGTGTGTGAGTGTGTGAATGTTTGGCTGATGAGCAGGTGGCACCTTGTGTGGTAGCCTCGGCCATCGGTGTGTGAATGTGTGTGTGAATGGTGTCTGTGTTTTAAAGTGTGTTTTAAGTGGTCGCCAAGAGAAGAAAAGTGCCGTATAAATGCATCTGTTCTGCTTCTTTCATTTAAAAGTTAATGTAACCGATAAAGTTCAGCATGTTTGCCGCTGTAAACACCTGGTGTACGGCAGCGTTGTCTGGGGAGTGATATGTTTTATATTTTCAGTTTGTTTGTCATACAGAGGGCCTCTTTACGCCCCAAACTGCACGTAATTTTTGTTTAATCATCAGAGATGTGACGCGGGAGACGTAAACATTATTTCAAATTGAGTTTTGGTTTAATACGACCTGTGGACGTGGGAAAGCAATTTGGCTTCTGTCTGAACCTGGATCTGGCAGAGTTGGAGGATGACGGTGTGATTTTACACCAGACTATCTTACCTGTTGTAAAACTTAACGATGGGTTATTGCCGACATTAGACTGTCTGTGTTAAGATGTTTTAATGGTGGTTTCATTTCACAACAGAGGCAAAGAATGCCGAGGCTCAGGGCAAACACTATCGTTACCTGGCTGTCCACGTCGGCAGATGATGGAGATGTGATGCTGCTCTGCAGGGCGCTCGATTTGCGTGTGGTTACCACAAGGAAAGTTGAAGAGGGAGGGTCAGTATATGTAACAATAAGGTTCAAGCCAGCATTTTTGTCGCTGTAAACACCTGGTGTATGGTAGCTTTGTCTGGGGAGTGATATGTTTTATATTTTCAGTTTGTTTGATGAACCAAATCAACGGCGGTTAAAGACTGTAACCTTGTGGCGTCTTCCACGCTCCACACTCACGTCAGCACACCTGCCTTTAATTAAAGGTTCCTGAGGTGCCGGGTCAGGTGGTGCATTAGAGTCAGAGTTGGGTAAGGGTTACTTTAAAAGTAATCAAATTACTTTACTGCATTACTTTTTTGAAAAGTTACTTTATGGCGTTACTCCCTGAGTAAAGTAACTCAAGCACTTTAAAAGTACTTTTGAGTATTTTACATTT